TAATGATGTACTATATGCTGGCTAATTGAACATAATAAAGAATAAATAAATAAGAAATAAGTAATAAAGAAATGGGAATGGGGAGGGGGAAATATATCTGAAGTCATTTGTTCTAAAGGCAGTAGTGTAAGGTAAGTATTTTAGTTGAAAATATTTTCAGATTATTCGTGCTCTTCATTCAAGGAAACATCAGTTATCCAACAATTTTATAAAACTGAAGCTACCATCAAGATTAAGCTCTTCATTTTTAAATATGACACTTTATTACATAACTTTCCCATCTGTCTGATCACAGCCTTTAAAAGCAAATTGATTTTAGATTTTTATTGTAATTGTAATATTGTGATTTAATGGATATTCATGTTACTCATCATCTTCCCCTGTAAACATAGTTCTGGGGTTTCCCCTTCTGCCCCAAAATACTTCTATTCTCCCATTACCAGGATTCCAGACTTTGCAGTTACTGTTTATTCTCTCTCTCCGACAATATCAATTTTACCCACAAAACACATATTCATAACCTCTTACCCATGCTTACGCAATGGTTTCATATGTGGACTCCATTTCTAAGGTCTCCTCTCAACATTACTATACTGCAAGACAAAACTTTCTAAAGCATTATTCAGATAATGTAAAAAAATCTTTAATGATTTGTTACTGCTGTGACTAGTTTTTGACAATATTAAGACTGTAGGAAGAAAGTGTAATTGGATATTGAGTGAGACTTGTCCTGTTAACGTGAAATTGGTAACTAGGGCCCAAGATTTAAAAAAAAAAAAAAAAGCTAAATATTTCCACATTCTAAAGAGAGCTGCTAATATGTTATCAAAACTTAGGGTGATTAAGGAGGGCACATGATGTCATGAGACCATCAACAACTGATGAATTGTTGAACACTACATCTGAAAATAATGTGCTGTGTGTAGGCTAATTGAATTTAAATTAAAAAAAAAAAAGGGTGAATCCAGGCTCTCTATTATATTAGCCAAAATAAAGGGCAAAAAACCCCATACAATTTAACTCTTTAAATTTAACTCTTTAAATTAAGAGCAAGTGTCTGTCATGAAGTCACATGTCATGGAGACATGGCAGAGATGTTGGAATTACCGGACTAGAATTTTAAAACAACTATAATTAATATGCTAAGGATTGTAATGAATCAAGTAGCATGCAATAAAATACTGGCAATATAAGTAAGAGCGATGGAAATCCCAAGAAAGAAACAAAAAGGAATGCTAGAGACTAGAAACACTATAACAGAAATGAAGAATGATTCAGTAGGCTTATTACTACAACAAAGTGGAATGCATCTCAAGTATGCAAGACTGGCTTAACATCGAAAAATCCATTAATTTAATCCAGAACACCAACAGACTGTAAAGACTATCATATTAGTAGATGCAGAAAAACTATTTGACAAAATCCAACACCCATTCATGCTTAAAAATAAATAAACTCTGTAAACTAGGAATAGAGGGAATGTACTCAACTTGATTAAAAAATCTATAGAAGTCTATAGCTAACACCATACTTAGTGCTGAGGAATTTGAGGCTTCCTACTAAGATCAGGAATAAGGCAAAGAGCCTATCTCACCACTCCTTTTCAACATTGAACTAGAAATTCTAGTTAATGCAATAAGACAAGAAAAGGAAAAAAAAAAGAAAAGGAAATACAGATTGGGAAGGAAGAAATAAAACTGTCTTTGTTCAGAGATGACAATATCATCTATGTAGAAAATCCAAAAGATATGAAAAAAGGAAAGAAAAACCTGGAACTAATAACCAATTATGGCAACGTTGCAATATACAAGGTTCATATATAAAAGTCAATTGCTTTCTTATATACCAGCAGTGAATAAGTGAATTTGAAATTAAAACCACAATACTATTTACATTGACAGCCCCAAAATGAAATATTTAGGTATACATATAACAAAATATGCACAAGATCTATATAAGGAAAACTACAAAACTCTGAAGTAAATAAAAAAAGAACTAAATAAATGGAGAAATAGTCCATGTTCACGGATAGGAAGACTCAATATTGTCAAGATGTCAGTTTTTCCCAACTTGATCTATAAATTCGGTGTGATCCCAATCAAAATTCTGGCAAGTTATTTGTGGATATCAACAAACTGATTCTAAATAATACAGAACTGGAATTATTGTTACCCAGATCTAGTGTCTGATTCAGCCTTGTCATTGGTCCTAGTTAATCACTGAACTCAAGCTCTGGTCTCTATTTCACAATGGTTTTGAATTAGTCTTGGTGCCATGCCTACTACTGGCCTAATTTTAGCTTTGAGCACCATTTATGTCTGGCTTAGGTGCAGATCCTGGCTCTGTTTTGAACGCTTATCACACACACTATATCAGAATGGGCTTTTTGCTGGTCTAAGTATATCGGCTTTTCTTTAAAACACCTAGAAGTTAACAAGAATGAGTATAGGAAACTGTCAGGCTCTGCTCCTTCATCATCCTGTGTCAGGAGAGGGCTTTTGGTTATATATAAAAAGCTGTCCACTATGATAGGTCTGAAACAACAGGGCAAATTAAAGATGCAAAACCATATTTTAATACATTTCATTTTTTAATTTAAGTTTTACATGAATAGACATTAAATAAATATAACTATGCTCTCAATAATGTTGCTGTAGGATAAAACTCTCCTCCCTTTTTAGCTTAGATATCTAGCTTAGAATATCACTTATCTCTTTTGGGAGTGGTTTTATTTCCCTTACCCATTCTGTAATACCAGTGAGACTAATCCTCAAATATGGATCAATCCAATCATACATTACAGACCCATATTAATTATAAATCTCAGTTTCAATTATACCCTTCATTTATCCTGGCTTTTCAAACTTTTCACTCTTTGAAACCCCAACTTTAAATCTGTTTCTCTTTCAAGTTATTTTACTTTCTATTTCACAGGGAAAAAATGAAAGCTGTCAGGCATAAACTACCTCATCCTTTTTTATAGATTTTTATTTGAGAGCAAGAGAGAGAGAACACGAACTGGGGGAGGAACAGCAGGAGAAGCAGACTCCCTACTGAGCAGGGAGCCCAGATGATTCCTGAGCCATCCAGGGATTCCAGGATCATGACCTGAGCTAAAGGCAGCTGCTTAATGACTGAGCCCCTCAAGTACCCCATAAACTACCTCATTCTTATCATCTACTACCTCTTCTTCCCACCACACCCTTCCCAAATATATATATATATAATTACCTGGACATATCCTTACTATCTTCCTTCTTCACTTAAAAAAAAAAAAAAAAAAGAAAATCCTTCTCCCCATCCAAAGTTAACTCTTCCACTTGGGTTTAACTCTTGTCTCTCTTCTGGGGTATTATATCTTCAATTGTCCCCTTTTCTCTGTTTTTCATTTCTCTCTTTCTGCTGTCCATCCCTCTCAGTATTTAAACAACTCAGATTTCTCCCATCTCTTAAATAAGAAAACAATGTTTCCTTGACTTTGGATTTATTCCTTCCAATTGCCCTCACTCTTTCCTTTTACAATCAAACCTCAAAGGAATGGTCTGTACTCACTATCCATTTTCTCATCTTCATGTAGTTTTCATCTTCACGTGGTCTTCAACTTACAACAGTTGGGCATTTCCCAAAGTTTTCAGATTCTAAGTGCTTTCATTTGATCTTTTTATTGCATTTATTGCCATTGATTATGACCCCTCTAACCTCTCCTTTTTTATCATCACTCTTCTGCATCTCTGGACGCTTTTCAATCTCCTTTACAGGATACTCTGCTTTGGCCACTTCTGAATGTTTCTCAGCCTACCAGAAATATTCCCTGGATATCTCAAGCAATCAGATTCAACGTGGTAAAGACCTGCACTCATCATTTCACTCCTAAAAAGTCTTCCTCCTTTAATTTTTCCCAAACTGATGAACATTTTTCAGTTACCCAAACAAATTACCCATCCTACAAAGCAAAGTACCCCCCCTTTTTTTTGCCTCTGCTATTCAGGCAGTCACTAAGTCTCTCGTAATCTTACCACCTTACTATCTAAATTATCTTCATTTTCCTTTTGTGTCTTACTGCCACTGACCTAATTTAGGATCCTGTTATTTCTTACTTGATCTATTTTTACTAATACCCATTTCTCTAGGGTCAAAACTCTCCCATTCATCCTTTACACTGCCAGATAATTTTTTTTTTAAGATTTTATTTATTTATTTGACAGAGAGAGATCACAAGTAGACGGAGAGGCAGGCAGAGAGAGAGAGAGAGGGAAGCAGACTCCCTGCTTAGCAGAGAGCCCGATTTGGGACTCGATCCCAGGACCCTGAGATCATGACCTGAGCCGAAGGCAGCAGCTTAACCCACTGAGCCACCCAGGCGCCCCCAGATAATTTTTTTAACTAATCATTTCACTTTGCTGTTAAAAATCCTTTGGCTCCATAACCGATAAAATAAAATTTAAAGTCATTCATACAGAATATGTCCACCTTCTGTTAGGATATGGCTTCACCCTATTTAGTACGTCCTTCTCACAGTCTACACTCCAACAATACTCTACTTGAATTGTAATTTTCCCAAACATGCTATACTCACTCAAATCCAAGGTCTGTGCAGTTTTCTGTATGTGAAATGCCTCCCTTCAGCATGGAGTAACCCTTCTCATTTAAGTCTCATTGCCAGTGGTTCCTCTTCTGTAAATCCTTTCCTGACCTCAAGCTGAATGATGCTTTTCTTCCACAGGCTCTCATGGTATTTCAGACACACTTCCATTACAGAGCAATTATCATAGCATATTGTAACTACTTCCACATCTGTTTTACAATTAGGCTCTTCTTTGAAGAGCTATAATTTTGTTTGTTTTAACATTCCCAGTGCTATGCACAGACCCCCCTGTGTAGTAGAGGCTGTATGAATGTACTGCATGCATTCATGAATGGAAACTTGAAATGTTAAATATTTTCCCATATTAATTAAAAAGTACTATGTACTAGGATGCCGTCTGGTGATTTTTACACAGGTGAAAATGAACAACTAAAAAGAAGTGCTGATCTTATGAAAGAAAATTTTAAATCTCATGAACAGGTGAGTTTATATACTTTTATATTCAATCAAATTGCTGTACAGCATTTGTCTTGTCAAATTAGAGAAAAAGGGGGGTTCTCATTAATGAGGACAGTCAAAATTTGGAAAGGAAATAAATATGTGTATATGTGTGCCAGAATTTTTAACAAATACAAATCTTTAAAGAAATAATTTGAAGGACTCAAGTCTCTTTGAGACTATAATACACTAATATATCACTTGCATTTTTTTTTATTTCCCCCAAAAGCAATATAACTGTTGTGTTACATATTTACATATTTTTTAATTATGTTAACAGAATTTTTACTCTAGAGTATACTCTATTTTTTCAAAGATTTTATTTTTAAGTAATCTCTATACCCAACACAGGCTCGAACCCATAACCCTAAGATCAAGGGTCACACACTCCACTGACTGAGCCAGACAGGCACCCCTAGAGTGTACTCTATTAAATAACACTTTAAAATCTTTTTATTACAAAATGAATGAGTCTTTAATCTTTTGGTTTGAGTAATCTGTTGTACTTTTATTGCATCATCCAAATGAAAGGAGGATTTTATTTGGATCACCAATTATTTCTCTCCCAAAGGCTACCATACCCTCTGCTACTTTTTCTTTTTTTTTTTCCATAGGAACAACATATGACAGCAATTATAAAACAGATAACACAGTACCTAGAACATAAAAAGTGCTCCATAAATGTCAGTTCCCACTGCCCTTTGGGAGGCTTATTATAATTTTTGTCTCATCTCCCAAGAGCCAATATGTCAAACTCTGGCAGACCTAAGGTTTCCAAAACTCAAACTGGATCTTTATCAAGCTTAGAACTTCAACTTGAAGGATCATTTCCAAATTCAATCTGGTCCCTCACTTGAGATAATTTAAAATATCTCTGGAATATATCCCACCCTTTATTTTTATTTTCCTTTATCCCTTTCTTTTCCTCTTTCCTATTCTTTCCATATTTGCTTCTAAAGCTCGACTATGTGTATAAAAGTTAGGGTATAATTGGGGCAGAGAGAAGGGGGAGAAATCGCTGCCTTCTTTCTCTTCTAAAATGTCAAACCATAGAATATTGCTTTGCCTAGGATACTTTAGGAGTTTTCAAAGGGGTGGAAATTAAAGAGAAAATACCATAATCCAAGATTCAGAAGTTCTTAATTAGCAGCTGTTCAAAGCAAACTAAGGATGACCTCAATCCAATGAGAAGTCTCTAACACAAAATATCCAGGCACATCCAAAACATATGGAGAACCACTCTCTAGAAAAACACTCAGGAGGTACTGAATGACCTTATTTATGAGACTGGAAGAGGTTTTATAATTTGCATACAGAGGATCCTTAGATTTTATAAAAACAAAAACACAACATGGGGGTTTCCCCTTGTAATTTGAAGTTCCCAGAAGGTGAATGAAAAGAAGGCAACCAAGAATAACTTCTTGGGACTTGGTCCCCTTAGAAAGAGGAAAGGATTAGATTCCTCAGAGCTGATACAGGCTAAAGCTGGGGAGAAGAACCTAGTGAGGTATAGCCAGGCCCGAGCCCACCTATTAAACTAGCCTTTTTGCCTGGAGGCTGGAGTGAAAATTCTCTTTCCAGATTAACAGACGCTTTCCACTTCAGTGTTAGCATCTTCCCACGGCAAAATCAATGGGGAATGGAAACATACATAGACTTGTCTCTTGTGGTTCCTCAGAACAGCAAGTGCTGAGTCAGGAGTAGTTTATGAAGGCCAACTCTGGTTGCCCATCTAGAAATCTAGATACATGCATGTGAAAGGTGGCAGTTTGAGATTCACCCCTATATTCACCTGCCAAGATTTAATCACTGCCAATGGTTAGATAGGTTTGGCTAGTCCTATAAGTTGCCAGGCAGGTTAAGTAGCACAAGCACTTAATCTTGGCACACGTACCTCCATGTTTAATTACGGACATCTAACCTCAATACCGCTGAATATCTGTTGAAAGCTGTGAACACGCGGAGAAAAATGCTCAATGGTACACATGCATACATACTTGTATCTAGTTTTCCTACAATTTCAGAAAGTTAATGGATCATCAAAAGCCCACTTCCTGGGTCTAGGCTAGGAAATTTTGACTTAAGTAATTCTTGTTGGCACTCTTATTCATTCAACAAATATTACCCAGAGATATACACTGGGAGTTGGAGTTACAGTGGTGAGTAAAACCAAGTCCCTTCTGTTAAGATGTTTAGTTGAGAAGAAGCTTTTCTTGAACCTCGTGCCTTCATTGACGTACCTTTCTCAGCATCTATTTTACTTTTATTCTTGCTGCTTTCCCTTTTCCTGCCTGCATCTTGGGCCCAAGAATGGTTTCTTTATGTAGAAATATCCCTCTGGAAAAATTGTAAATTTTATCTTGGGTGACTTTCTCTCCAACACATCTCGGAATGCCCCTCAGCACTTAGCACAATAATCACTTCCATGCTTTAGCAACCGAGGAAACCAGTCTCGGGCACCTGGTGAGAACTTCTCCACTCCCAAATTCATCGTTCTCTAGCCTCCTCCTCATAAAACTAACCCTTACCGTGGGTAGTACCTAATCTCCTTCTGGGAATTAGGGATGTGTATATAATTTTCAGAAACAGGCCACATTCAAAGGATTCATCTTACGTTACATTAAGCTTGCCAGCTATCGAATAGAACCAAATATTGTCTCTAAAGTATAGCTTTAATGGACATATTTTAATGCTATCATGGCATTTATTCATTAACAATTAGCAAAATATTTTGAGCATCTATGATATGTTAAACACTGGTGATGAGTATTCAGGAAGCAAAGATAAGAAGACGTTGTCTCTAGATGGTTTCTATCTCCTTGGACCAGAAATTGATCCTTCTCAAAGCTACTCATTCGGGACATAAGCAATATCCCTCTAGATATGATTACATATTAAAAATTAACATGAACTTTTAGAATTTCACCTTTCTAATTAATGGAAGGTTGTGTACACATATTTAATTGAAGAATTAATATATATATTTTAATCTTTAGGAATATAAGAATAATATTGCCAAACTTATGAGTGAAATGAAAATCAAAGAGGAGGGATATAAGATAGAAATAAGGAAACTTCATCAGGATATGCAGGAAAAAAGTAAGTTATTTTTAACTTACTGAATTCTAAGACATCACAAAATAATTTAAGTACATGTAAAACTTTTTCAGTAATTGCCAGTATTCTTGAATGAACATTACCTTGATGCATTTTAAGTTTTGTACCTTTCTATATATTTATGTGATATAAATTACAACATTTCTAAACTGGATTTATATTTTTTGCACTTGCCATTACTTAATATGAAACAGCTAATGCCCTTATAAGATTATAGCAAAATGTATAATTAATAGCTTTGATATTTAGTCTGTATATGGAATATTATTTCAGTAATGAAGTTTTCTTCCCTCACTAAAGCAGGTCTCATGAACTTACACTGAGCGTTAATTGGTTTCACGAAAGTAATAAAAACTTTTCTTAGTATGGGCTCATACTTATGTACAATATATGAAAAAGTTTACTGGAAATGTATAAGTCAGAATATAAACCTACATCTACAAAGTGTTAGAAGAAAGCATAGAAGATAATTTTTGTGAACTTGAGTTATCCACAACTTCTTGGAAAGAATTAAAATGCACAAACAATGAAGGAAAAAAAATTCTTTTTTTTTTTTTTTTTAAGGAAAAAATTCTAAATTGAACTTTATCAAACTTACTAACTCTGTCCTTCAACACTCTTAAGTACGAGACCCTGATCCCAAAGACTGAATATGGCTCCAAAGCATTGGGGAAGATGGGGGGAAAAGAAATCTCTCAGCAGAGGGGTGCCTGGGTGGTTAAGTGGGTTGAGCCTCTGCATTCAGTTCAGGTCATGATCTCAGGGTCCTGGGATGGATCCCTGCATCGGGCTCTCTGCTCAGTGGGGGGGGGGGGGGGCTGCTTTCCCCCTCTCTCTCTGCCTCATTCTCTGCCTGCTGGTGATCTCTGTCAAATAAATAAATAATCTTTTTTTAAAAAGCTCTCAGCAGAGAAAAAAAAGCCAATACATATAGAGGGGGAGATAGGACATTCTGGGGAATAATAATCCATCTCCTACCTTTTCTTTGTGCCCCATGGAAAGGTTAGCAAGTAAAAAGCCAAAAACTGACTAGGGCTGGATTCTTTGACTGTTTGAATTATAGGATAAAAAATGGAAGTGATTAAAGGTTTTGTGAAGGTGATGGCCATACTTAGAGGTATGCTTTAGGAAGACTAACCTGGCAACAGTGTATAGGGTGTAAGGACTTGTGATTGAGAGCCTGGACACAGAGTCCAAGTGAAGAAAAACAAGGCTTGAAACTAAGTAAGTAGTGGATTGGTCCTGGATGGAGAGCCCTTATTGGTGGGGCTTGTGGATGAATTGACTCTTTTCTCCCTAAAGTTGGAAATTTCTTTGAGGCTCCCATCCTGAATGACATGGTATCAACAATAGGAATAGGAAAGTTGAGAGAAGAGGAAATTTGATGAATCATAGAGATGTGGTGTGAATATGACAGACACCCAGTCATGTGGAATAGAGTTTAGCGGGGGTTTGATGTAGCTCTGAAATCATCCGGTAACTTGGAGCCCTCTATATCTAGGAACCCAGGCTTTGTGTCCCTCTTTAACTAGTAAGTCTCCTATTCTTTATTATATATAAAATATTTATGTATATTGTGTGTATATATATAGACATATATGTCTATATATATATAATGTATGTAATTGATGTTTAAGAATACAAATCAGTTTATTTGTTCAAAAGCACTTCACAGGTAATCTTTGTGTTTCAAGCAATTTGCAGGGGTTTATCAAAAATATATAAAAGCTTACCTGTGTATAAATTCTTTCTAAACCATGTTTTTATTAATAAAATCTACTTTCTGTAGATTGTTTAAAATGCTAACTACAAATTTATAAGATTTTTGAAATGTTAAAATGAATTAACTTTATTTACTTTTGTTCAGTTGAGTCAAATGAAAAAAAGCATAAAGAACTGATAGAGAAAAAGGAGGTAGAAATTTCAGAGTTAAATGCAAAGTTGAGAACTCAAGAAACGGAGAAACAAAGTGAAATTATCAAATTACAGTTAGAGGTAAGTATGCACGAGTTTGCTAAATTTGAAGATGCATCCCTTAGTCTAAATAGGACTTTTTTTCTTTTTTTCATCACAGTGAGATAAATTTCAGGAGACGATAAAACTGATACACAGTTTATCCTCACATACATACACAGGCTCACTCTCCATCACATGCAGCTCTCAAACATCGGACACAGCTAGCTACCTTGCCTTTCAGCACTTGGCCTGAAGGTGGGACTCTTCAGTCATTGAAAAGGTCCACAGAGAGGACTGTTTCCTCTGGGACAGGAAACCTGCAAATCAGCATTTCCCACACTGTGTAGCTGAGTGTAGGCAAGCATCATAGGACCACTATTCATTCCAGCGATGGAGCAAATGTTTCTAATCCTTAACACTTTTCCCTCTTCGGCAGAAACTGTGGAACGCTTGTAAACCACTTAGAAATTCCTTCAGCTTTATTAAAAAGATATAAGTTGGGGCACCTCGGTTGCTCTGCCTTCAGCTCAGGTCTTGATTCCAGGGATTGAGCCCCACGTCCGTCTCCCTGCTCAACAGGAAGCCTACTTCTCCCTCTCCCACTCACCCTCCTTGTGTTCCCTCTCTCACTCTGTCTCTGTCACATAAAAAATAAATAAAATCTTTTTAAAAAGAAGAAGAAGAAGAGACAAGTTGCTCTCTAATAAACTTGTGGAAAATACCATACAGGCAGACAAATCAGATTTTTTTTTTTTTTTTAATGTTCAAGGGACTTCAAATAAGGCATCTTCAAATAAGGCATCTCAAAGGCTACAGTTCCAGTTCCAAGGTCTAACTAAAGCCCTTTCAGGAGGTTGTTTAACCAGATGTCAGAATCTCTAAGACATGGATGTTTTGAGAATGTATTTATTCTTTAAAAATTTTTTTTTTTGCAAAAATAAAATGACCTGTAAGAATGACTTATGAGAATTTTTAAACCTGATTCAGTTTAATGTCAAACCAATAAGAGTTCAAACTAAAATTATATCCAAATTCTACTACTCAGCCTCAATGATTTTACAGAAGGGTAATACGAGTTTTTACCCCATGACTGTTGACTACACTATTTTTTCTTTACTAAAGGACATTCATGGTAACATGAAAATATTTTTACCCATCTTTATGTTAACTAGATTCCTAATCCTGGTTATCTAGATTGCTTCCTAATGTCTTAACAAAAAGATTATGCTGACTCTATCCCAAAATCTCTAAGGTACTGCCCAGGCATTTGGTACTTTTAAAAAGCTCTCCAGGTAATTTAACACGCAGCAACGTTAATCTTGTTTGGGTGTTCTTTGCTCTTTCTTAAAAATTGTTCCTTTAAAGGAAGACTTCTCTATCTTGTGTTATACAGAGAATATACTTAAATCACAGATTATGTTAAAAATATAATGAATTATGCTTATATTTATAGAAGCAATTGTTTTAGTTGTTTAGCTAGAATGTTCTCAATAACTTTCTTTTTTAAACTTGATTCAGTTTGATGCCAAACTAGCAAGAGTTCAAACTAAATCAAAATCATATCCAGATTCTACTGTTTTGCCACAGAGTATCTACAGAAGGGTATGTGAGATTTTCTTCCATAGCTATTTCTTAAGAAAATATTTTCTTAGTGTGTTTCTCTAAAAGCTGTCTAGTATTTACTAATGATATACTTAACGATTTTTCTTAAAATATATCACACAATCAGGAAGATCTTGGGTTTTGAATAATCTTTAAAAGTCACTTTCAATTTGGGGTGCCTGGGGGGGCTCAGTTAAGCATCAGACTATGGGTTTCAACTCAAGTTATGATTTCAGGGTCATGAGATTGAGCCCTGCATTGGGCCATGTGCTGAGCATGGAAACTGCTTGAGAGATTCTCTCTCCCCTTCTCCCTCTTCCTGCCCCTCCCCACTGAGTGCTCTCTATAAAATAGATAGATAAAACTTTAAAAGTCACCTTTAATTTAAAATTATAAATCTTAGCAGTAAATTAAAACATTACAGAAGTCTTTGACTCTTTGGGCCATGTAAGGAATTCTGTAATACATTCTGAACTAGGGGTGACCTACTATTCCAAGTTATTTAGGCACTCAGATAATGGGTTTCTTTTTGTTCAGCTCCTTTATGGTTTAGAACTTCAAGCTATATAGGGAGAAGGGAATAAACTAGAACAAATGGTGCTAATACATATTTTGGTATCTTTATTCCCCTTTTACCCCATAAGCCTCCTGAAGATAAAATTATAAATCTTTCAAAATAAGCTCTTTAAAAATACCTACTTAAGACAGAAATGCAGTTTTTACTAGGTTTTTTGTTTCTTGCATTTAATCCTCCTGTTTCTGAATTGCAGTAACAAATTTCATTCTGCTTTATTTAGAAGCTTCAACATCTTCAAGAAGAAAAAAACAAGGAGATTGCAGTTCTTCGGAATACCATTCATGATTTAGAGCAACGCCTCTCCCTTAACAAAGATTCTGATCTTAAACCTACTGGGAAAGGTTCTTACCTTAAGCGTAGACGGTTTTGAGTAGGAAAGTAAATTCATTAGTTGCTACCTAATTTCTTTAAAAGCAGTTGAAAGGGACGCCTGGGTGGCTCAGTTGGTTAAGCAGCTGCCTTCGGCTCAGGTCATGATCCCAGCGTCCTGGGATTGAGTCCCGCATCGGGCTCCTTGCTCATCGGGGAGCCTGCTTCTCCCTCTGCCTGCCATTCTGTCTGCCTGTGCTTGCTCTCTCTCCCTCTCTCTCTCTGACAAATAAATAAATAATATCTTTAAATAAATAAATAAATAAATAAATAAAATAAAAGCAGTTGAAAACTTACTTCTATCATTGATAGAACATACTGCCCAAATAATAACAAAGAAAAAGGAGAGCTTCAAACTTTTTAAATTGAGTTTATTTAAACAAATCCACATCTGGCCAATCGTGTACTACATTCTTGCTTAACAGTATTAACCATAAAGGAGTTCAGGTTTATAGGCCTTAGTTTACCTATTGAACCATCATGGACTATGGAAATACTTTCTAAACAATCAAGAGACAGACAACATTCTTTTATCTTTTCCATTACAACTCTCAAGACAGACTATCTCAAATTTAAGAGTATGATATGCTAGATAAAGAAAATAAGATATAGGGGCTTCATTTCATACAGGATAGTGAAAATCAAAACTCTTAGATATACAAAGTGTAAGTAGATATTTAAAATGTAGTCCTAGCAAAATAGTCATGTGTCAGTATTTCTAGAACTTAAAAGAAGAATTCACTGAGTTCTTTAAAGGTTTAATCAATTAAAAACGTAAGATTTAAAAGACAATTTTTTTTGAGAAATAACTAAAGAAAAAAATGGAAAACATGTCTTTGTTGTTCCTTCTCCATTCTAAATTGCTAACTATCCAACAGAAACCCCTAGGTCATAGTTTATGTCTCTGTTCTCATTAAAGCAAGTAGAATGCTGGAAAAAGAAAAAGAAAAACATATTAACCAAATGCTGCAATCACCTTTATAATAAAATAATGAAAACATGGTTTGGGCAAAAATTTCTTTGATTTAAATTTTAAAATTTGGAAGCCAATGTAATAGATTTCTCCATGTTTGTACAAATCCAATTCTTATTTTTGGATCAGTATTAGACAGCTTATAAAATGCTGGAAATGAAACTGTCCAGACCTACTTGGGGAGTATGTCTTATTTAACTATTTAGTATGAAGGTCATTTTCACATTTTGGCCTTATTTTTTCAGCTTCAATTGGTGCTGGCTTCTGTGGGCTGAAGCTGCTGACCTGCTTGTCAGGCAGCTGGAGGCAAACGTCACTGTCAAGATTCAATGACGTTCTCCTCTGCCCAAAGTCCCTGTCAGCTGCATAAAGAGGGGAGGGTTTCCTTACATTGTCAGGTGGTTGCAGACCCTGTTTTTTCAAATATCAGATGACGTCAATGTCAGCATCAGCTGCGAGGAGCCAAGCCTGAATCTTTAGGCAATGTGCAGAGTAACTGATTTATACAACCCTTTCGTCAGAGCTGCTTTTGTGGGACAGAAAGTTGTAAACCTTCACTCCCTGCTGGCAGATCTCAGTTCTCTGGGTGGCCCTGTCTCTGGTGGGTCTTGTGTTTACGGTGCTGATGAAGGCCTTGAGGAGCGGGATACTCAGCCGCATCTGGGGCTTCTGGTGGCTGAGTCTCCGAGAGCTCCTTGTTCCCATGATGCTGATGCCCATGCTTGTGATGGTGGTGGTGGTGGTGGTGTGGCTGGGGAGCCTCCGTTGTGTTTCCCACAGTAGGCGAAGATACCATTTCACAGAAGTCTTTAGCTTCCAGGGTCTAGAATAAATTTACAATCACTTATCAATAAATGTAAAGATTTAGCAAGAGTGCACAAAAAATGATTTGTAGAGCTAAAATATGTAACATTCAAGCCAGTTAATTAGGATTGAACTGGTTTTGTTTTTCTAGCATTATATTAATGAGATAAAAAATCTGAAATCGGTTTCAACACCTAGACTTACTAATATTTGCTTTCCGTCATACCTAATTACAAACTGCTTCTTCTACAAAGTCTGCATTTAATCCAAGATTCCCCAAGCTTCTTACAAGGGAATGAACATTAATGTTTTGCAAATACGTAAAATACAGCATAAGCCAATTAAAATTTAAGAGTTCACCTAGGCTTCTATACGGGTTAAATCAACAGAATTCAAATTTTCCTTATCAAGAGCATTTCCCAAATTTTTAAGAATTCTGAAGAAGGGGGTGCCTGGGTGGCTCAGTGGGTTAAAGCCTCTGCCTTTGGCTCAGGTCATGATCTCAGGATCCTGGGATCTCTGCTCAGTGGGGAATCTGCTTCCTCCTCTCTCTCTGCCTGCCTCTCTGCCTACTTGTGATCTCTCTCTCTCTCTCAAATAAATAAATAAAATCTTCAAAAAAAAAAAAATTCTGAAGAATTAAGAGACAGATAAGGCTTAAAAAGAACACAAATGACCTTACTTACATCTGCAGAAGGAAAACTAGATTAACTGGTTAAAAGAACTTACCACTGATTGCAGTAAAGTCAAACAAATATCAAGTCTTAGAAGCAGCTGAACTACACAGAACCTTTCACACCTGTATCACTTTATCATTCTATTCAAATATAATGCTATATTCTAAAGCAAACTAATTTCTGATAACTCAAAAATGCCAATAAACTCTGCTCAAAATGAGTCATTTTTCATGCCTCAACTTACGCCAGGAAATGTTTTGAACTTCACTACTTTTGTTACTATGTCCCTCCTGTCAGGCTGTGGGGGGCAAGGAGCAAATCCTGCCAATCTTCCACTGAGCAAGAGATTCCATTCTGCATCAAACTAGTTAATTTGCTGCGAGTCTTTTTTTTTTTATTGTTTTGTGTGCCCACAAATCATAGCCTCAAAGCTTACAGATAGAGCAGCGTCATATGAAACTTTTACCTAAAGTGATTTGTAAGCGCAGTTAGTCTTTGGTCTCTCACACTGATCTTCTAAGTGTTCACCATTTTTGAAAAGTTAAAAATTCCACTGGATTTTTGCATACAACTATTAAATGGTACTTTTAAGAATTCAATGTAATTTTTAAAGTTTGTATTCAAATTCCAGTTAGTTAACACACAACGTAGTATTAGGTTCAGGTGTACAATATAGTGATGCAGCACTGCCATTCAACACATGGTGCTCATCACAACAGGTGCACGCCTTAATCCCCATCACCTGATTCACCCATCCCCTCCATCCCCCGCCCTCCCCTCTGGTAACCATCAGTTCTCTGTAGTTAAGAGTCTGTTTCTGGTTCTTGATTTGCCACCCTGCCCCTCTTTTTCCCCCTTGGCTCATTTGTTCATTTCTTTTTTTCTTTTTTCTTTTTTTTTTTTTTTTTGCTTTATTTCTTTTTTTTTTTTCCCAAAATTTTACTAAATTCCAGATAGTTAACATTCAGTACAATATTAGTTCCAGGTGCAGAATTTAGTGATTCATCACTTACATATAACACCTAGTGCTCATCACAAGTGCCTTCCTTAATGCCCGTCACTTGTTGAACCCATCCCTCCCTCCCACCTCCCCTCCAGCAACCCTGAGTTTGTTCTCTATAATTAAGGATCTGTTTCTTGGTTTGCCTCTTTTTTTCCCCCATGTTCATTTGTTTTGTTTTTTAAATTCCACATACGAGTAAAATCATACGTTATTTGTCTTTCTCTGACTATTTCACTTAGCACAATACTCTCTAGCTCCATCCACACCGTTGCAAATGGCAAGATTTCATTCTTTTTCTGGCTGAATAATATTCCAGTGTGTGTGTGTGTGTGTCTGTGTACACACATATATTCCTTATCCATTCATCAATCAATAGACACTTGGGCTGTTTCCATAATTTGGTTATTGTAGATAATGCTGCCATAAACAGAGGGGTGCATGTATCCCTTAAATTAGTATTTTCTTATTTTGGGGGTAAATACCCACTAGTGCAATTCCTGGATCATAGGGTAGCTCTATTTTTAACTTTTTGAGGAACCTCCATACTGTTTTCTAGAGCGGCTGCACCAGTTTGCATTCCCACCAACAGTGTAAGAGGGTTCCCCTTTCTCCACATCCTCACCAACACCTGTTGTTTCTTGTGTTATTGATTTTAGCCATTCCAACAGGTGCGAAGTGGTATCTCACTACAGTTTTTGTATTTCCCTGATGATCAGTGATGTTGAACATCTCTTCATGTGTCTGTTTGCCCTCTTATATGTCTTCTTTGGAAAAATGTCTATCCATGTGTTCTGCCCCATTTTTAATTAGATTACTACGTTATTTGGTGTTGAGTTTTAGAAGTTTTTTATATATTTTGGATACTAACCCTTTATCAGATATGTCATTTGCAAGTATCTTCTCCCATTTCATAGGGTGCCTTTTAGTTTTGACTATTTCCTTCACTTTTTGAGAATTTAATATTATAAACAATTTGACAAACTTAGTAACAATTTGATAAATGTTTAAAATATACCACATAGTGTTCTAAATGTTCAAAGATTGGTAGCAGTAGTCTAATTTCAAAAAACCAATTACTATATTTTATCAATCCTACATTTTATCGATCCTACAATGTATTTTTTTCACATTTTAGTGTCTTTAAAATCAGAATGCATCCTACTGTTGATAGTGTTACAACATTGTGTCCTACCTTGACAGAATTTTTTTTAAATAGTACATAAAATAATGTGTCATTTAATTGATGGCATCTAGGATACAATGAAATAGGAAAAGTCCAATTTGCTTTGGCATATCAGATATATATGGATATTATTCCTATTTCCAGGTGGCTCATAAATTTTAAGCATTTATGGGAACTGTTTCTGCCTTTGTTTAAATATAACTGGGTATAATTGTAACTATTAGGCACTTGCAAAAATGCAAAATACTAAAATAATCCCAGAATATGAGGAATCAATATTAGCTAGCATTTATTAAGCACTTAGAAGTCAGACATTGAGTTAATAGTTTATTTGCATTATCTCAGTCTTTCCCTCTCTAAA